ATAACATGCATGATGTGAGTTAAATTAATAACATAAAACCAAAGTTTGCATGTCATATTTTTAATTAACTTAATATATTTGAACTAATATGTTTTATGCATCCAGAATTGGTATTTAGTTTCATTTATACGAAACTAGCTTTGAACTAAATTAAGACTAAACTGCGTAAATGGTTTCCTATATTTGGTTGAATTTAAATTTTAGCCCTCTATTTATTGCTTAAAATTATTCTATTAACTGCTTGTTGATTTCAAAATGTTTGATAACAAAAACTGAACTTTTTATTGAATTAAGTGGTGCAAATGGTGCTAAAATTACAGTACAAAATATAAGCAATAAAAATTAATTTATCGTCTATCAATAGCATAAAGATAAAAGTCTAGGTGAGCCAAAAAATTCCTAAAATATGATTGGCTGGACGGTTTATTCCTCAAATATGATTGGCCGGACGGTCATTTTTTAATTAGGGACACAATAGTAATCTCAAAATAGGAATTTTGTTTTTTGGGCTGCTGAGAGCCCGCGCCATGCGTGAGGTACTGCCCTTTAAAAAGACACGCGCGGGTCAAATTCCGGGTTATAAGACGATCCACGAGTCTTTAAAGCGGGTCGTCTTGGCCCGCTTCCCTTTTTTGTTGTTTTTTTTTTTTCGTTTCTTTAATAATTTTTTTTTTGTTTTTCTATCCTTAATAAAAAATTGTTTTGATTTTGTTTGTGATTTTTTTTTTTTGCCTTTTCCTTTATTATTATTTTTTTTTTTTGTAGATTCAAGTTTTATTCTTTTTTACTTATTTTTTATACCAATGTTTGTCCAAGTAAAATTTACATAAATTGATTTATAATAGTAAAATATATAAATATAAACATTTTAATCAAGTGCATGATTGTTACATGAATAATTTTAAATTACATGTTCATAATAAATTTAAATAATTTCAATTGTTATATGCATCTTTTTAGAATACATATACATGATCTTTAAATAATTTTTTTTGTTTAATATTTTACAAAATATATATTTAAAAAAACAAAAATATATACTAATTATAAGTGTAGCCAGCGTTTCCTTTTCTTTCGGCTCAGTGTAATCGACTTTGACTCTTACATTCAGTCATTACGCAGCACAAACTAATCCAGTGCATAGTTATAGAGTTTATGTGCATAATTCAGGACTCCAAGTGCATGGATCCATACTCTATACCTGATGTCCAGACCCTATCTGCATGGATCCAGAGCACATATACATAATTTGAGACCCCATGCGCATGGATTCAGACCCGATGTGCATGGACTAAGACTCCATATGCATAATTCGCCCAGATAGTATCTAAGATATTACATGCCAGTGCTATTAGCCCATGTGCTAACAAAACAAAGATCTTCTTACATTTACTTTGAAAAACACTAGTGAAGGAGGTTACGCTTTATTGCTGAACTAACAACCTGCTTTTGCATTTTTTCCCCTGTCGAATATCATTTTATATTTTCTTATTAACTTTAGAGTCGTTTTTTTCTAAACTTTATTCTATTATTTCTTCACCCTAACTTTTTTTTTATTAAACCTTCTTATTAAATATATATTCAATAATATACTAGCAACTCAGAGATAATATTTACATGTATGAATGTAACACGAATATACATACCCTAACATAAATGAATAAAAAAATTATAGAAAAAATAAAATATGTAAAACTTACCATTAACCTAATTGCAATGGTTATATTGTAATAACTACTCAAATATTTTTTGTATGTCTAAATTATTTTTCTTTATATTTTCATTTTGAAATTTTCTCTTATTTTTTTACTCTACATTTCTTTGGGTAAATATTTCCAGTAGAATCTTGAAAACAATAGGTACTTATTCATTTTATTACACTATTGTAAGTGTTATAATTTACTGTTATCACAATATAGTAAATTATGATAAACCAAAACTTGTTGGTTGTAACTCTAATTTCCTAAAAAATTATAGACTGAATACTATTATCTCTGGCATATGATCCAGTTATAGTCTGAATGTTGCGAAATTGAGTCTCCACGCAGCAATAATAGATAAACCGTTATAGTCATTTTTAAGGATGTTGTTTATGCACAGTTTCCGGTAAAACTCTGCTTCGCAATGACCAATAACAAGTCACAATGACAGACACTGGAATGCATCAGGTCATACTTACGCGAGCCGGTCTTCTCTCACAGACGGCTATATAGGTATGACCACGGTTCAAAATCGCTGATTTTCGGTACATGAAATGCCGGTTCATGGTTCAGGAAATGAATGAACCTTAACCGGCCCTTAACTCTACGGTTACAGTTACGGTTCGTAAATCTCCGGTTAAGGTCCGGTTTCGGGCTGGTTCCGATTTTGAACCCTCCGGTTTGTTGACGGTTTTAAACCGGTTCTTTTACGATTTTAACTTACTTTTTATACAATTTTTTTGTGTTGTGTGTTTCAAAAAAAAAAAAAAAGAAAGAAAGAAAGAAAGAAATTTCATGTTTGGTTTTTAAAGCAACTTATTCAAATCCTAAAAATATGTCTTTTATGATGTATGATTGTTAGCCTAGCAAAACAGTTTAATACAAATTCTTTTAACTAAATTAGGACAACTTCAATGGTATTTTCTTGATTTAATAAATAATAACAAAAATGAAAATAGTTAGGCAATATTTAAAATTTATTCAAAAAGATGAATTATCATTATATTTTTTTTTCCTAAATACAAAACAACAAAACATAATATTAACAAAAAAGAAATACATACTTTCAGCACTACAATAGTAACAGGCTAATCATTAACAAATGAAAAAAATTATATTTAACTCTTAATTTTAAGTATTTGTGTGTTGAGACTCTATAAATGATATTTAAAACACAAGGGTAATATGGAAAAAAAATTCAAACATTATTATTGAAAAACAAAATAGACCAATACTTTGATACGACCACAAATTAGAAAATTGACATCTATTTTGAAAATGAGGTAGTAATTAACATTTTTATGTTTATAAAAACTAATATTTCTATACTTATTTTTTAGGAAACCGACGGTTAAGTGGAGGTTTTTGACGGTTAGAACTGCCGGTTTACGGTTTTTGGAAGGCTTGAACCGTAATTGGCCCTTGACTAGACGGTCCGATTACGGTTTTATGAACTGTAACTCACGGTCTCGGTCCGGTTCATGAACCAACGGTCGGGTTCTGGTCGGTTCCGGTTAAAACATGAACCGTGGTCATGCCTAGCTGTATATGGCCCTCTCTCGGGCCAAGACGTCCAGATCGCTAAAAGTTCTCCTACTGCTGCTAACGTTAGAGGACGAATTAGTGGATACAAAACTCGAAATGTGGTCTTCGAAGAAATATTACAACTAGCAACAGATCTATAATTTTTATCAATTGGCCATTATCAATCCTCCCTATTCATTCACTAAATGGCGATTTGGGTGATCACCGTTCTTTCTTCTCCTCTTTTCCCTTTCTCTACCGCTTATTTTTCTTCCCTATCTTCCCTTGCATGGGAGGATGGGGGAAATAATTTGTCTCTAGTTTTAGTTTTTATTTAATTGAATAAATTTAGTCTGTCAGCAAATCTTTGATTTGCTAGACGTGTATAATCTATCAGTAAATCTTGATCTATTAGGTGTTGTAGTCTGTCAATAGATCTCATTCTATTGACCGTTATTTAGTTCTTTTGTAATTATCTGTGTGATCTTTAGTTTGTAGTGTTGTCCATGATTATAGTGTTATGGTTCATAGTCATGGTTTATGTTAAGAATTTGCAGTCAAAGTAGATCTATATTTTAGATCTATTTTTTGGAGCATTCATCTGATGGTAAGTGAAGTATTCGAGATCGGGGATTTTCTTTGGTACGTGATGCTTCCAACAATTATTTGCGAGTGTTACCGAGTTAATGATTTGGTCGGAGTTGGTGATTTGGTCGTCCACAGTAAAGATGATCGGTGGATTCTTAGTTATAGAATTCTAATCGGTTGTAATATGTTAGTGATTGTAATCCTCTGCCAATCGTGGTTGGACGTTTTCCAACAAAGTTAATGAAGTTTCTTTTATCTAAAAAAAAATTTCACAACTAGCAATAGATTTATAGATTCATTTTATTCGTCATTTTATTTATAACCTAATTCAAAGTCTTATAATTTATTCCTATCACTCTATATAAATAGTTGAACAGTAATTCTTACAACATCCAAATCAAATACCAAACCACACTTCTAAGAAAAAAATAATAAACACAACAAATTACTTATAGGATATATAGCGTATCGTGTGATGGATCACCGGCCGTATCAAAGCTGAAAACCTCAAAGCAAAGATCACATTTGGTCCACCAAAAAAACCTGTATTCTTTCCTAAAATACCTCTCATCTATGAAGACATAGGAATCGAAAACATCACGTTCAAAAGGATCCAGTTACCAGTGAAACTCTGCTTTGCAATGGCAATCAACAAGTTACAGGGGAACACAATGGTGTACGTCAGGTTACACTTACGTGAACCGATCTTCTCTCACGGTCAGCTATATGTTGCTCTCTCTCGCACCAAGACATCTAGATTCTTAAAAGTACTCCTAATGCCGTCGATGTTAGAGGACATTGTCGAGGGTACCTAAACTCGAAATGTGGTGTTCGAAGAAATATTACAACTTACAATAACTTGATATGGATAAAAAAAAATTACAAAAATAGATTTATTCATCGTTTTATTCAGTACATAGTTGTACTTACTACAATTTACTACTTTCACTCCATACAAAATATTTTATCAGTTATTCTTCCGACAACAAAATCAAATAACAAAGCAAACTTATTCAAAAATAAAAGTAAAGATAACAAATTATTTACAGAATGCGTTGCGCATTGCGCCACGGATCCTTAGCACTAGTTTTGTAATAATAAATTTTATTATTGCTTATTCAGCATTGAGCATTCATAATTAACCATTAATTTTTATTAAACAGCCCTTGCCCCTTGGTCCTTAAATAACGAAATTGTACTGTTCTTATTGATTTTCAATTCTTTCCCGGATCGTTTTTCCTTTCTCTCGTCGCATCTATATATCTTCTTCTCCAGCCGTGCTCCTTTTATTTCCGCCTCTCCGGCCCTTTTCTTCGACTGCGAAATTTGCCCACCAAGCTCCGGGAATTCTCGCCGGCCCAACCACTAGCGGCGTCCTCTCTCGCCTCTCACGTCAGTCATCTCTGAAGTCCCTTTAATCCTTTCTTTAGGTATGTCTCCGGTTTTCTTCCAGTTGTAATTTTGGATCTAATCGGTTACGTCAGCTATGGACCGACTTAAGAAAATCACCTCTGACCTTGTTGAAATCTGTTGCAAATTTTGATTTTATGCTATAGTTTCTGTAGAGAGTTTGAGATACAGAGGTCCGAGCGAACTTATTGTGGTTAATGGTTTCAGTTACATGCTTTAATTCTTAAAGTTGTTATTCACTGTTTTTCATTGCTGATTGTATCTCAGAAATTTGAGTGTTGTGGAATGAAGGGCTGAATTTTTTATCCTTTCGTGCTTGACCTGATGTTTTGCTTTTTAACCTTTAAGAGATGAATTTACTGCTTTGGTTTGGTGTTGCTCAATGCTCATTATGTTTAGTTATAATTTTAGATCAAGTGCACTTAGAATATATTCAGCTTCTCTGAAGAACCGAAATTAAACTCTGTCGAAATTTATCTGAAAAAAAACACCCATTGGGAGTATTGTGTATGATAGCTTATCCAAATAAAGGTTATCAAGTTCTAGGTTTTTAGTTCACAAAGAATGTCTGTTTCCTCTCAAGTTGCGAAATTTCTTGAGGTTCCTTCCATGCCCTGGTCATTCATCTGCTGTGTTCCCGCCCGCCCATTCCCCACACCCTCCCGCGCGGAAAGTTTGAAACGTTTTGTCCTTCATAAGTAGGTTAGCTCTATACTGGAAAGGATAGGTGTCTCTATTATGATGCTTATGTGAAGTCTGTTGATTTCATTCAGCAAGGTTTTTCTAGAGATGCCTCAAAGACACTCGAAGAACAATAATGATCTCGCCTTCTTTACATATGATGAGAAGCGGAAGCTTGGCTATGGCACTCAGAAAGAGAGGCTTGGAAAGGATTCAATTAAGCCATTTGATGCCTGTTGTCTTTGCTTGAAGCCCTTCATTGACCCTATGTGCTGCCAGAAAGGCCATGTCTTTTGTAAAGAATGCATACTTGAGTGCCTTCTATCCCAGAAAAAAGATATCCAAAGGTGACTTTTGCATTTTGGTTTTCTCAATAAGATTTATTTAACTTGTTTGCCTTTATCTCCGAATTACTTGATTTTGTATTCTTCTTCCTGCTTTCTCTTATTGATGATCATTTACCGGCAATGGACTTCGATTACCTTCTCCTTTTCTGATTTGGTTTGTACTTGGTCTATTATTTGTTGGTGTCTAAATCATATCTTCTGTTTTAATCCCATTTATGGCTTTGCATAAGTTCCTGATTTCTTATGGAGAAATCAACATTTTTATCTAGTGCGTGCTTAGTTTGAACACTTTTGAGGTTCTATCAGTAAATAAAATAGAGTGTTGCAGCTAACAGAAGCTTAACATGATCTTCAAAGTTCATTATCTCACTTTCATTGGATTGAATTAGGTAAAGTTTGGTTAAAATCAGAAAATTAAAGTAGTATATTGGCTTAGGGGATTTGACATAGAGTTATTCTTTTTTTTTTTGGTTTGGGGTACAATTGCCATTGGATTGTTTCTTGTTTCTTATGAAATTCCACAAGTTTGACATGAGTTGTGGTAAGTTTGCATGTAATCTATCATGATTATTCTGATTTGTATTAATTCTACCTGTGGGCAAAGGTTTCCTTTATTATCCTGGACAAAGGCTTCATTTTTCAGAAATTTATGTGCACATTTGTGGCCATATGCACCATGATTGAAGAATGTAATATGTGTGTTGCATCCCATTTTATATCTTTCTTTGTGCTGTATGCTCCAGAAGTTGCGAACTAGACGACAAGTATATTTGTTCCATGCAAATTGTTTATTTTAGTTTGCACCTTCTGAACAGAAACATCTTCAATGTTTGAAATCAACATCTTCTGCAGTACATCTTTGCAATATGCTTCTGATTTTTTTATGTAAATATCACAATGTTTTAGAAAACCACAATAAAGGGATTTTGGCCAACCTGCAGGAAGCTAGCAGCTCACGCGGCTCAGCAGAAGCAAGAGAAGGAAGAAGAGGAAGAAAGGTTAATGCTGCAAAAGGCTAGAGAACTTGATGCATTTGACCAACAGAACCATGGTGCTGTTCCCCAATATAACGACAAAAACTACGGTAGAGACAAAAATGGTTTCCATGGTGCTAACAGTGTCAAGGCCACTTCTTACGAAGAGGAAGCTCTTCGTACCATGAAAGCATTTTGGCTTCCTTCAGCCACACCAGATGCCCCAGCTAAAGTAGAGGCCCCATCCACAAGCACGACCTGTCCAGAAGGGAAGGAAAACCTTAAACTTAAGTCACTCTTTCCTATTTGCTTCACTGAAGATACCAGTGAAGTGAAGAAATCGAAGGCTCTTGATAAGACATACATATGTCCTAGCTGCAAGGTGACTCTGACAAACACTCTCGCCCTCGTGGCACTAAATACTTGCGGGCATGTTTTCTGCAAGAAGTGTGGAGACAAATTCATGGCTGTTGATAAGGTCTGTCTGGTTTGCAATAAGCCATGCAAAGAACGGAATTTGGTTAACTTGGCAAAAGGAGGCACTGGCTTTGCTGCCCATGGAGATAATCTTGAAGCTAAAGATTTCAAGCACTTGGGCAGTGGAAGTGGGTTGGGATTGGTTAGACCTGCTATGAAAACGTGAATTGCTCTGCTGTTACTACAGCAATCCGTAGAATGTAATATTTTTCCCTTTTCTCTGCCACCGGATCTGTTTGTATTGTATGGATTTTATTCCCGAAGGCAAATTTTTTCAATGTTTATTTCTGGCCCAGAGGCATTGCATCCATATGTTTGCTTGCCACATTTTTCTCCCTGTTTCTCTGTTATTTATTCATTGCAGAAATCAGAAGGTTTTATCTTGTTTCTGAAGGGATGAAATCCAGCTGGCTAAAACTTAAATATCTAGTGCACTTTGACAGCATATGGTTCTTAAACTTGGCTGCCGAACTTTACCGCTGCAAAACTTTCAAATGTCGAATTATATAGTTACTTAAATAGTTACTTCTTTCGTCCCAAAAAAAAAATCGTCCATTTCCATTTGCGATAAAAGAAGTACTAACATCTTTAAAAAATGTCTTTTGAAGTTGTAGTTTTTATTATTCTTCTATAAGAATGAAGCCGGGTAGTTTGAGTGAAAATGACAAAGCACCGGAGTTTTGAGCACACACAGTTACCAATTACCAAATCAAGAGGTTTTTGTTAATCAAGTTTGGGTTGGTGGCAAAAATGAGCCCAACTAAGACATAGTTTATAGGCCCCAGTCTGTCCTTTTTCTTTTTCCCCAAAAAGCAATTCACAACTGCTGCCAATTTTCACACTTCGTCTTCTTCCTCCATATGTTTTTACTGCCCTTCAAGTTTCAACTACTGAAGCTCAATTGAAAAGCCACAAAACAGTTCAAATTTCATACAATTGAAAAAAAAAACTTAACAGAAAAGATTGGGGATGGTTTCTGCAACGGTTTCCCAGCTCTCATCATTTACCTGCATTAGGCTTCATCAGAGATACCGGTTTCAACCCCGATCATATCCATTTTCTCGGTCCAGGGTAATTTCGCTCGCTCTTTTTACTTCCTTTGTGCTCTTAATCATTCATTTCTTACTTTGCTCCCATAAAAATTCAATCTTTGGGTTCTGATTTCCTGCAACTTTGGATGAGTAAAAAAGGAGTCTTTTTGGTCAACTTAAACGAATGTCTTTGTGAATATTGAATTGTAGGAGTGAACTTTGACATTCAGTTCTCGGGTTTTACTTTTATATCTGGAAAGTTAAATTTTTGAATTTAGATTATGAAGCAAATTTGGCTGTACCGAACTAATTTTTTGGTTATTGTAAACTAAAGCTTGAACTATATAATAAAAAGGCCCGGAGTGGATTCAAGAGTAGATTTGCTTCAGGATCATCATAGTGTGTGCATTATGTGGAAGGGAAAGCCTATAGGATTGAAGATATTATTGGATAATGGACAGTGTGTAATCATATAGATGGTGTCATTCAGAAAAAGGAATGTTAAATAAAAGATATGTTGTGTAGTTAAGATTTGGTTTTGCCAATAGTGGATGTGAAAATTTATAGGTTAAATCTGATGTCATTGAGTGCATGATTGTTGCCTTATCAATGAGTTGCTGAGGTGATAGCAATAGCAAAACATCTGTCGTACAGGTGCTAGTTTCGAAGAGCAATGATGGATACCATACAAGCATTTCGAATTCTGAAATGAAGAGGACAGCAAGTTATACAGAAGATGCATCTCCTACACAAAATGGAAGGTCAGTAAAGCTTGATCCTGCTGCTCCTGAACCACTACCAGTAAAAGAGGAAAGTGAAACTGTAGAGGGTTCTGCTGTAACCGAACAAATAAGGGCTGCCAAGATTCATGATTTTTGCTTAGGAATTCCATTTGGTCAGTATCCATTGTTTATTACTTTGTTTCACCTGAGAAGGATATGTGTTTTTGCGCTTATAGCTGTTATAATCTAATTATAACTTCTTTATTTGTTCTGTTGCAATCTTTTACTAAAATCTTCTGTATTTAAAATGGTGTATTCTCTGACTTAAATATACCACATTCACAGAAATGTTAAGTGTTATCTGAATGTTGAATGAAATTTAGAGTTCTCACTGATAAATCCTTATTCCACTAGACATTGTGTATGAATCCTCCTGTGTGGAGGTTTATATTGTTAATTTTTTATTAGCTCTGCGAACACACCGTGAAATTACTCTGAAATCGAGTCCTCTGGTGATAATCATCTTTCTCAATCTTCTTACCCATATGCAACATTTGTTGACTTGCTGTTTGTTCACTTTGCTACTGGCTCTTAGCGTTTTACTCATTGCTGTAGAAGGATGTTTAATTGCATAATTGTTTAATGCGGTGGTATCATGGTATAGCTGATCCCTCTTTCCTGGGTCTTCATTTGTGTTTCTAATCCAGTAAGGAACTCTTTTTAGTTTTTTGAAGTCAACTGATCCAGTATGATTAACTGAATGTGCCATGGAATGAAGTCCCAGTGCTGAGTTGTTTTCTGATCTAAGATTGGTGTATTATTTTATTTTGTATAAACTGATGAATTTGTGACTGAACAAAGTTGAAGTTCATCAATCAATGTGCAGGAGTCCCATTAATATGCCTCCTGCAATGATGTTCAAGTGCATGCTTGTTTTTATGTGTTTTTAGAAATTCGACAGCTTCTCACTTCTCTGTTAGTGTGCCCTATCTAATTAGGATTCAAACTACTATAAATTCATTGGTAATCATGTCAGGTGGGCTCGTATTAAGCGGGGGTCTATTCAGTTTTATCGTCTCTAAAAATCCTGCCACTTTGCTTTATGGTGGTGGTCTTCTTGGCCTCAGTGTTCTTAGCTTAAAGGTCTGGCGAACCGGAAAATCCAGCCTGCCATTCATGTTTGGTCAAGCAGGTATTGCATATTCCTTTTTGACAAAGTCTACGAGATCTTGAATATGCTCTTGCTCATCTATCAGTTTCCAGCCTGAGTTGATGTTTACTGTAACTGCTCTTACATGTGTATTTTAATTGGAGAAGATTGGTATTTGGAAATTGAGTAATTTTCAATGCATGAGTTCTCATTGATTGGACATTTTTAGGTCTTATTATTGATAGCTAGACATTTAGAACCACCATTCAGTGTCCGTCTCCTGGATCTGACACTATTTTTAGTTGTCATGCAGTTTATGTTACCCGGACTCGGGTACGAGTGTCCGACACGACACGGGATCTAAGTGTCGGACTCGTAAATGTTGTAAAATTAGGATACGTGGGTACGGATTTAGACACGGGTACGGGGATCCTTCTTACAATTAATTCAAGTTTTGATAATTAGAGTACCCAATTATAAATAATTTGGTGTTGGATGAAAAATTAGGAAAGTGATGATTATTATCATCCAAAATTCATATTCTTTAACAATTAATCTAAGAGATAAGGGAGTTTATTTTTAATTATATGAAATTTTAAGCTCTTATTAATTAATAATTTTATTATCTGGGATTTGGGCTGAGAGAAAAAGATGGTTTTATGGAATATAAAAAAGAGGAAATTGGACCAAGTTGGATTCATAGGCAAGTGGGCTTTTCTTTAACTTTTGAAGAGAAGGATCCCATTTTAAAATAAGGGGCAAAAGAAGCCCAGTGCATTGAAGTTTTTTGCCTTCTTCGTCAACATTCAGAACGGCGGCGGAACAATTTTGTAGAGGTGGTCGGCAAAAGTCAACGCGTCTTGACCGATGTAATCAGATCCTGTTCGGATCTCACTTTCCCCACCCTCCCACTTGTAGATTCGAAATGGTATTAGATGTGTTGAGATGTCGAGTTTACTACAGTTGCGAAGTGTCAGTCTGTAGTAGGACTTCGAGCTTGTTAAAAGTGGGGAATTTGATCGAAATTATACATCAGAAACTCTTCTATACATACAAGATGGAATCTATTTCACAATTCAACCCTTCTTCGTTAACATATCAGCATTCTGATGTTCGGATTACTGGACATGGTTCTTGTGGGAAATTTTTATTTCTTCAAATGATGCTAAATAACTTGTGGCTACTTAAACAAAATCAGTTCACTGTGTTTCTTTTCCAACAATTTACTTCAGAATTTTTTCCTCTTTGCCTCTTTTTTTAAATTTTTTTTTTTCCGTCTATGGACTTCTTTTGATATCTATCTTTCTTGAACTTGAAGCTTGTGCCGCAACATAGTATAGCAATTAATATCCTTTCTTCGAAACTTACTACTCCCTTCGATCCTATCTATAAGGCATAAATAACCATGTAGTCATAACCAAGAAAAGTTAGTTAAGTTTGTCTCAAAATAGACTAAATTACCTGTATTGCACCAATTAAAATCTAATTAGCATTGATATTAAAAAAATTAAGAATGGATATACTTGGAAGAACACAATAAATTAAACCTTAAACACATCGAATGCCTTATAAACCAAGAGAAACCTTAAAAAATGCCTTATAATTAGGACCAGAGGGAGTTGTTTCAATCTATGATATGAGTGGCTTTGTTCAGAAATGTTTGTACAGGATTCTTAAAATTGTCATTGCAACTTTTTACTTTATAAATGGATAGCTTCTTCCAACTATGGAGCTCTGAGGAATGTACCTCTGATTCATGAATCTTTTGTACACTACTGCTAAACATGCTTGTATATCATTACAGTCAACAAAATTTTAGTTGTCAATGAAAATAGCATTATGGCTACTGTAACCAAAGTTTTTTGCTGCTATTATTGTGATTGTGCTTCTGGCAGTTGGTTTGAAGCTAGTGTAGCTTAGCTTCACTGATATCGTTTCATGATGTTGCAGTGCTCGCTGCAGCCCTCCTGTGGAAGAATATTCGGGCATACTCATCGGTATTCTATTCCTCTTCTTTTTTCTTTCTTTATTTTTTATGGGTAAACTACTTTCCCCACTCTTGAAATATGACAAATCTTCAAAAGGAACCTGATTGCTTGAAATATCTACTAATATTGCCCTTGATTTCCTAGACTCATACTGCCTAGACCCCTACCAGGTGGGATAGAAAAGGATGACACAAACAGAAATCGAATGTTGAAGCTGGTTTCCTTTATGTAACTCCTTTCAGAACTACGCATATAAATATTAAACTTTTGATAATTTGTATTTATTTTAATGAGTTAGTTAATAGATGACTTTTTTCCTTCCTGTTAAATTTAAGTTTGTGTTTGGGGTGAAAAAATTGATAAACAAGGAAAGTTTGATGAGAATTCTGAATGTAAGAAAAGATGTTTGATCAAGTTTCAGCAAAAAAAACTATAGGATATTATGCTTTGGAAATGTATATTTTCTTTCTTTTATTGTTTGAATTTAAAGTTTAATCACTGGATGGACCTTTTTGTTCTTCTATGCTTTTTGATAGTTAACTTATATTTCTGGTATCAGCTATTATATAAAGCCGCAGGTCTGTTTTATTGTTTTTCTGAAACTCGAGGTTGGTAAATGTAACTTATCCTATATGTTTTCATTAATAAAATACTGCTTCTTGGTTGTTGCAGGGGAAAAAGATATTTCCCGTGGTCTTTTATGCTGCTATTAGGTACTCTGAACTAAGATGACTTCAACTTTTTTCCCCCTGAATATTGCAACATCATTTTGTGGAGTTTCGGCCGTGCTTAGTTATGCGGAATCCAGTATTTTACTTATTCTGTTGATTGATTGGTCTCCTGCCTTCTGTATATAACAGTGCTGCGATGCTATGTTTTTATACCTATGTGGTGCTATCTGGTGGCAATCCCCCGCCAAAGAAGAAGTCCTCTGTTGCTGCTATCCAGTCATGATCAAAAGCCCTGAAGGTCAGATCTGAGTCTAAATTATATGGCCGGGCGCTAGGTCTAGTCATTTGCCGCTATAGTTTTACACATCTGTACATGAGGGACTAATCACTCGATGAGCTGGAATATCTATAATGATAGCCTTGTGGCACATTGCCAAAACTGGTCTTCTATCTCTCAATTGTTCTTTGATTAAATTAGAGCCGAAATCATAAGTTGTACCATCTTTTTTAAACTGTGAGGCAAAAAATATCTATTATCTGTTGTGTGTTACAGGAACAGCAACCCCCTCTCTCCCCTAATTTTGGGCTTCTGTTTAGCTTGATTTTGGTTCTGTTCTGAACAAGTCTTTATTTATAACATGGATCTGTTCTGAACTAGTCCTTATTTATTACGTGGATTTGCTCAGCAGGAGATCATGATTTTTATGCCGTAGTTGTCGTCTTATGTGAATATTGAGGCCGCATAGAGATTAATGTGTTCGTGTTAAAAGTTAAGTACCAATGCTGCTTAAATTCGAATACGGACTGGCTAACTGGCCATTTATTCATTTCTAGTTTGCAAGCTGTAGTATCCTCCTTGTTCATGTTGTTGAAATAAAAGGGAATAATGGTTTCCTATTAAGGACAAAAACAAGAAATTTGTACGATGTTCTCCTTTTCTCTTCCACAGAACATGAAAGAAACAGGTTTTTTTTTTTTTTTGTTTTTTGTTTTTTGTTTTTTTTTTTTTGGTTTTTTTAATACAATGAAGGAGGCCGAAAGGCCTAAATTACTAAGTTACTACACATGAGTGTAATAAAAAATAACAATACTAAGTTTAAAAGACAAAATCTTAATAAATTGAAATACCATAACCTGCACCAAAGAAATCTCAGTCTCTAGATAGGCAAAATCAGAAACAGGGCATTTTCAATGTGTTGAAGACTGAAATCATCATCCAGCGCACACTTTTTAAGTATGGAAATTGATCAGATGGCGCGCGATCCATGATTGCTTTAGGAAATTAGAAAAGATGCAGAAAATGACTAGGAATATTTGATTAGAAAGAGTAATACACGGTATGTTATGCTAAAACATTAGAACATGTGCGGGCTTATTCACAAAAAAAGTATTCACCTCTTGTTAGAATAATAGGGATTGTGTTTCGTTATATACAATATACACTCTATATAGATAATAACAAAACCCTATACACAAGGCTATTATAGTAAATACATATATTACAAAATGTCAGCAAACTGACGACGGACAAGAGAGAAGCCGAAGTTTGTCCCTGAAACGAAGAAATAAATCCTTAGACAAGGACTTGGTCAAAATGTCAGCAATCTGATCAGCAGCAGACACAGAATGTACTGAAACAAATTTTCGCTGAACATGATCTCGAACAAAGTGAAAATCCACCTCAACATGTCTAGTACGGACATGAAACATAGGATTAGCAGCAAAAAAAACTGTGCTACTATTGTCAGACCAAATAGAGGGAGAACGACGTAATGAAACACCTAACTCAGACAACAGGTGACAGACCCAATGCAGTTCAATACAGACATTAGGAATCGCACGAAACTCAGCCTCAGTAGACAAGCGAGCTATAGTGGGCTGCTTTCGAGATGCCCAGGTAATGAGATTATGTCCCAAATAAAGGAGAAAACTAGTAGTAAAATGACGATCATCTAGACAATCAACCTAGTCAGCATCACTAAAAGCAGTAAGAGTGCCCAAATCAGTGGGATGCAGAACCAAACAGTAATCAAAGATAGCGAAGGATCCGCTTGAGAGTCTGAAAATGAGAAGTGCGAGGCTGATGCATGAACTGACAAAGTTTATTAACCGCAAAACAAATATCTGGTCGGGTGAGAGTGGTATATTGCAGACTACCACAAAGTCAGCGATAGGTAGACGCATCATCAGGAGACAACAAAGTACCATCCAAACAAGATAACATAGCAACAGACTGCATAGGAGTAGAAATAGGCTTACAAGAATGCATATTAGCGACCCGTAGTAAATCATTAACATGCGCTGAGAGAGGAGCAAACCCCGAGAAGTGCGATGAACCTCGACACCAAGAAAGTAACTCAAAGGACCCAAATCACGAAGAGAAAACTCTTTAGCAAGACAAGAAATAAAATGTTGAACCAAACCATAAGTGCTGACCGCAATAAAAATGTCATCCACATACATTAGCAAAAAACACAACTGAGACCCTCGACAATACCCAAATAGGGAAGGATCACAACAAGACTCTACAAAGTCCAAGGTGACCAGAAACGCAACCAACCGAGAGTACCAGGCCCGAGGAACTTGCTTAAGCCCATATAAGGACTTATGCAGCTTACACACATAATATGTGTGCACCGGATCAACAAAACCCTGAGGCTGAACCATATAGACAGTTTCACTCAGAACACCATTAAGAAAGGCATTACTAACATCACGCTGAGAAATCGACCATCCACGAGCTAAGGCAACTGTCAAAACCGAGCGAACAGTGACTGGCTTAACAACCGGACTACAAGTGTCTGTGTAATCAACCCCAAAAGATTGAGTGAAACCTCGAGCCACCAACCGAGCCTTATATCGCTCGATGGAACCATCAGCATGAGTCTTAATCTTATAAAGCCATCGATTCCCAACAACATTGCTGGAGGAAGGAGGGGGAACTGAGGTCCAGGTGTTATTTTTTGAGAAGAGCAGAGATTTCATCCTTCATGGCATTTTGCTACTGAGGCATAGACTTGACTTGAGTGAAAGATGTAAGAACAGCTGGTAGAAGTGGTGAAACAGAGGCAAGATGAACAGAGGGATCAAAGATCTTCTTGGGCTTGGAGTTAGAACGGAGTGCCATGGAATGAGGACGGGGAGGAGGAGGAGGAGGTGGCGGAAGAGAATTGGACTCAGATGATGGGGAATTGGATACAAGAGGACTAGGTAAAGATGCTGGCGAAGCAGAAGGACTAGGAAAACTGGGTAAAGATGCCATGGGAATGGAGGAAATAGGAGGAGAAGCAACGGGTGCAGGATTCGACGCATGCACACCAGGAGAACTGGTTACACGTAACCAATGGGTGGCAGGGGACTCCGGCAGCAAAGATGGAGAACTGGAGATGGGACGTTTAAAGGAAAATAGTTGCTCATCAAACTCGACATGACGAGCAACGTAAAGATAATTATTCACCACATCAAAGCAGCGATAACCAAGATGAGACGAAGAATAACCAAGAAAGACACACTGAGTAGAGTGAAAAGAGAACTTATGCCGATTGTATGGGCGAAGAAGAGGATAGATAACACAGCTAAAGACAAGAAGAAATGTATAATCAGGTGGCTGGTAATATATGAAGGGTATTTGACCCTGAAGAGGTTTACTAGGGTGGCGATTAATCAAGAAAACAGCAAATTCAAAGGCAAAGTCCCAAAACCGGAAAGGAGTACAAGAATGACCAAGGAGAGCAAGGCCAATGTTAACAATGTGACGAATTTTGCGTCGGCAGTGCCATTCTGCTCACGAGTGTGAGGGCACGCTAGACGATGAGCAATACCTACATCCTTAAAGAATGAATTCAAAGGACGAAATTCACCACCCCAATCAGAGTTAATACTTTTAATAGTGGTGCCAAATTGGTTTTCTATGAGAGCTTTGAACTGCTTAAAAACATCAATAAAATCACTTTTATGCTTAATGGGATAAATCCATGTGAATAAAGAAAAATCATCAATAAAAAATACAAAGTAGCGATAACCATTAAAGGATAAAATAGGAGTAGGACCCCAAACACCAGTGTGGACTAAATCAAGAGGTTTAGAACTACGATGAAATGTAGAAGGTAAACTAACCCTATGCAACTTCCCTAGACTACACGCCTCACATTTATCAGTAGACGTGGACATAGAGGAATGAGGGAGTTGAAACTGCTTAACCAAAGCACGAAGAGTGACATTATTAGGGTGCCTTAAACGAGCATGCCATTGACCTAAGGAAATGAGATAAGCTGCCGGAGACAAGGAACCACGAGTAGGAATATCTAACCAATAGAGGTCATTATCAGCCTTACCTCGGAGAAGCAGTTCCTTGGTTGATAGATCCTTAACATCACAGGAATCAGAATAAAAATTCAAAGAAAGAATGATTATCCGATGTGAATTGTTACAGATAATAAAGGTTTAGTGAGATTAGGGGCATGCAAGACACGATATAAAGAAGACGAGAAGATGATGGCAAAATAGATTGACTAACATGCTTAATAGGTAAAGCAACACCATTATCAACTAAAATATGATCCGTACTAGTATAATCATTGGCGATGTTGAGAGACGACAAATCTGGTGTTGCATGAGTGGTTGCACCAGTGTCAGGATGCCATGAAGTAGGAGGAGCAACATACTTCACTATATGTGCTTGAGGATGTGCACGTGCTGGTAATGGAAGTAGATTATCAGAAGTAATAGTAGGGCGAAGAGGGAAATTGGAGTCAAAATGACGAGAAATGTGAAGGCAGTGTGATTGGAAATATGACAAAGCTGATAGACCGTTTCCGGATAAAAATGAGAGTTAAAGTGACAAGAGCAAGTGAATGCAGTGTGATTAGGAATGCCACATAACTGACATATTTTTTTTATTATTGTCTATATATAGCGTGTATATTGTATATCATAACATGATGAAACACAATCCATCTCAATCTCAAAAAGCTTGTCTTAAGATGTCTTCATCACTATAGTTGGTCCAACACTTTCTCACTTCTACAACAACATCATAAATGACAATTCACTTGATAAGTCAAGGACTGAACTAAAATTTCCATCATGTTCTGCACTTCTGTTCTACCCTCTTACCGAAAGCGAAAAATGATGCGCAGAAATGTTCGGAAAAAGATGCGTTCAGCCCTTCCACCTGTCAGTACTACAATGCCTTAGGGCAGCCCCCTCCATTTTTCCAAACCATTCTCTTCCTTGATGCAGAGAGACGCATGCCACAGATATATATGCTGATATAGTTTCTTGTCAGAAATGTATAGTACAATGGCAATATGCATGGCCTAGAAATGGAAAGTGTCCTCTATAATAACCTAAAATTCAACCCATTTTTAGTTCCGGAAAAAAAAATGGTTGTGTCATCATTTGATTCACAGCCTCAGATCATAAAGTTAGATTCATATACCAGAGAAGGAAAAAGAAAAATGCATAATTTTGTTAACTGAATTTTAAGTTTTCGGATAAACTAATACTCCCTCTGTTTCAAAATTATTGTTCAGTTTGAGATTTTATTTGTAGTGTAATTTGAATTAAAAATGAAAATCCAAACTGAACAATAATATGGAGGTAGTACATGATATAATGACCCTGTTTATTTTAATTGTCTCATTATTACACTGTTTTACACACGCACACAAGGGAAGAAAGGTCATACTTTTGTGGGATGCCCCTTCTTGTTTCCAATAGTCCCAAGATCCTTTATGCAAAGGTCAATAGGCATTTTATATAGGCAATTTATATGGAAAACTATAATACACACTTCTTATAAGTAGTAGTAGTAGTTGTCCCGCTGGTGATTAATGCTTGAATGAATATATGTTCTACTTTTCGGAGGTCTTTTCTTGTTTGCCACCAGAAATGAGTATGCATTTGCTTTGCAAAATCTG